TTCCTGCTTGGCTTTTCTGAATCCGACGAACTCCGTGAATGCGCTTTTGGATGATCAATTGCTTGCTCCATCGTTTGGGACAAACTGTTGAGTGGAAACTCAGTCACCGAACAAGGAGGTTTCAAAGTGCTGCACTTCTGAAGATAACAGCCTTGTGACACGAAATGATTACTGCTACTCCCATCTGAATTCGGAAGGTTTTGAACTTCAGAGAGATTTCTACACCTGACCTCTCCATTCATCTCTTTCTTGACTGGCAATTGCAATGAATAGGCCCTGAGAACGTGTGAGGATTCAGAATTGCTTGATAAAGGGAGACCTGTTAGATGTCCATGAGGTTCATCTGTGGAAACAGATTTATGACACACATCCTTGCTCTCCTGAAAATCCAGTGTTGATGGTGTTTTACCTTCATTTCCATTTTTCTCACATGGAATAGCACGGGAATCCAAAGAGATGGAATTTGCAGAAGCAAGAGAAGTTTCCTGCAACAACGAGGTGGCACAAGACTTGTCCTTGGAATTCAACTCAACAGAAACTTGATACGGGAAGTCAGGGTTCAGATTGAAACCTGAACTAGAACTTCTATCAGCAGCCAAGTTGGAAACATTTCCATCTATATTTGATAAGCCACTTTGCCCACTCGTACTAGCAATTCCTTTTTCATTCAACCCCTCCTCAACTTTCTTTCCAGGTCCATCAGAGGAAACTTCAGCCACAGGTTTTATCCCAGCCACAGATCCAACATTAAGAGATTCAGGATCATTTCCCTCACAAACAGATACAGATTCTGCAACAGAAGTCCCCTGTTGAGCTACATTTTTCATTTCGGCGTCCATAGTAACCAAAACCGATTCACTTTCCCGAAGAGGCAGTGTCTCTGACTGTTCATCAACACCATTTGTGATATTGCTATCGCCATCAGAAACTACATTGGGCCTACCCTGTGTTTGACATGCATCAGATCCATGAGATTCTGATGTCCTGGCATTTTGTTTATGATCTAGTAGTTCCCTCTCATTTTCTCCCTCAGATCTACTCACTGTATTTGGTGAGTTCAAGGTCTCAATGGGATCAGATTCATCAAGGTTCATCGTCATGGTGGGCAAGGGCAAGTCCTCGTCCATTTTAGAACCTGACTTATCACTGCAAATACCTGAGCCAGTTTCTGGAGCACATGCATTTTCAGAACCACTCCCACTTCCATTAGCATCATCACCTAGAGACGTTCTTTCACTTCCTAGTCCAGGATGTATAAGATCAAGCCCAAGACACTTTCTAGCCTTACTAAAGAAGACCTTGCACTGATCCCGGGAACGCGTTCTAACACATTGTGATATCTTAGAAAAATCCCTACCACATGATGAAACTGCTTGAACAAAGATCGATTTTTCCTCGTCTGTCCAATCAGTAGGATCCATTTCTCCACAACTCTCATCAGAACAAGTCTCGTCATCAACATTCTGTGTAACATCGGGCGTCAATGGCCGTCTAAGTACAGAATCAACTTTCTGGGACTTCCACTCCTGATAGCCCTCCACACGATCAACAGAGCTCGTGATACATGAACTCATTGCCTCTGATGACAAGGAACCACAAATACCAGCCAAAACATGAGCAGCAACTGTTTCTCTTTCATTCCCAAGGACATCAAAGTTACACGACCTTTCAACCATGCCATCATCACCCCATGATGCTTTAAATTCGCTGAACCCTCCCAAAATCAACCTTCCAGAACACGTCTGTCGACTTCTCATGTTAGCATCAGCATTGGCTGCCATAGCTGAAGCTGCACCCAGAATATCAAGGGAAGCCGCATTCCTCTCACGATTCCATTTTTTCCCGGATGGAATTAAATAGCTCGCATTAGATAAGGACTTCTCCTGCTTACCAATATCCAACTTCTTTGTTTTCTCAAAACAGGCAAACTTGTGATTTTTGTAGTAAAACTCAACACAGTCTGCGGTTGTCTTGTGTTCAAGAAAAAAAGCAATTCTTTTGAAATCCTTCCCACAGGAGGCCAGCTTATCCATAAAAATCTCTTTCTCTTCAGGTGTCCAAGGGTTAATCAAAGCCCTTTCCTTCTCAACAGCGAGGGGATCCTCAACTAATCCATTACTAGAGATGAACCTCGACATAATCTTCTCCTTTTTGTCCAAAATTAGGGCAGGCATCTTTAAGCTGTTCCTATAAATCTTGACTTGCGGATCAGACAGCAACTGACTTGCAAAATTGATAATTTCTGTTGTAGGCACTAAACTCAGATTGCCTGCTGCAAAAAGGAAACGGAGCTATTAGAGGAGAAAATAAGGGATATCATAATACGAGATACATCCTAACTACAAACATTAGCCTTAAACACAAAATAAACACTAGAAGAGAAGCATACTACAGATAATATTGGACTTTATTTCTTGAGTGAAGCTTCTATTCAACTTGCAAGCTAATAGAACTAAGAAAAGAGAGGAGATGTGTATCAGCATAAATGATTTACCAGAGTCCAGACAGCATACACCACATGGAGAGCTAAACTCTGCCCACCCACACTTAAATTTTCAACCTAACCTTACCATGAACACATCTGCTTTTAACTGCACTTTTTATTGGTTCTATCCCAAAATCCTGCTTTCTCCTCACAAACAAACATTGCATACTATAGTAAAATTATTTTTGCAGCTAACCAAGGTCCAAACCTAGAACAAACCAAACACACAGCCACAGTCTGACACTTTGTCAGTGGAATTAGTTCAAGAGAAGACCATTAGCAAGACCTACAAAAATTAAGTAGACTCTTTTAAATCTGTTTTCTAACCGTTTAGAAAGACTCAACTCAAGGATCACTCAAGTGCACAAACGAAAGCAAACATAATAATAAACATTATTAAAGGGGGCAACAGATAATATGCAACCAAAATAATGGTTATATGAACCAAATTTCAAATAACCTGTCTGTATGGACTCTCCTCTCTTATCATATTTCACAAAAGGGAAGAGATATAATAAATATATATATATATATATATATATAGAGAGAGAGAGAGAGAGAGAGAGATCCTCAAATAATCATGTTACCAAGGTTTAGGTTGTTATACGACCAAATAACAGAAAATGGATAACAGAAAAGAAAAAATACGACAAATGAAAGACCAGAAATGAAAACAAATTTCAAGCTCCAGCTCCAAAAGCAGAGCAGCAGCAGCAGTAACTCCATTTCCCTGCAGGTAGCTCCTATTCTCCCTTCATATTTATAGTTCTCATTTTTGGTTCCTCATCCTCTCCCTTCTCTTTTCAAAAACATTTGGGGTAATTAAAGGATCAAAACAAAATGCCATTATAGAACACAAACAAGGATTGGGAAAAAAAATGTGAAAAAAATTGACATACAGCCTAATACATAATATAGAAAGAGGGAATTACTATATGCCCACTGTTTAGTATGCTACATGGATGACAAATGAAGCTGAATAATGCTGGTTTGGTTCTTTTTAATTTTTGCCTTCTCTTATTTGAATGGTCAAAAACAGAAGCGTAGCTTTAAACTCTTTCCGTGTCTTGTAATTTGCGGCTTGTTGAGGTCTTAGCTAAGGACTTAGGAAATGTGACTGATTAATACCCACAAATTTAGATCATATTCCCATAGTTAATTTTTTTCTCTTCTTTTTACTACTTTTTCCTCTTTGATGATCTGATCCTAGACTAATAGTATAATACAACACAACTAACTTTATGATTAGATAAGTATGTTAAATTGTTATTAAGTTCTTTTCACATTCACTTAAGATTGTGTTGATATCACTTGAATAGGGAGCAAGAAGAAAAAAGTGATGAACGAAGAAGACTGGAAAGATGATAGACTAGATATGATGATTCCGAAACTCCTATTACGTGTTTTATGTGTCTTCTGTATTCTAAGATCAATTAAAATTATGTTTTCATTGTTTGTGAATTTTTTTCTTCATTTGAGGCTTATGATGATTCTGAAGCTCCTATTATGCGTTTTATGTGCCTTCTGTATTCTGAGATGTATTAAGATTATGTTTTCATTGTTTATGAATTTTTTTCTTCATTCTAGGCTTATGTCTCACCTCGATTAGGCAAAACACCTTGGTTCCTAATATAGCTTTTTTAACCATTGAACAAAACAAGACAAACTATGAGACTACAAACTCTCGCCTAAGACCGCTTGGTCTAATGGCACGGGGGGTTTGGGTAAGATGGGGTTCGGGAAAATGCGGGTTTTAATCCCGTGTTGTATAAAAAAAATTAAAAAAAAAAAAGAAAAAGAGTAGAGACTACAACCTCTCATAATATTCTTAACTAGTTTCGTTAATAAAGTTTTGTTTCCTATTAAAAAAATGAAACTACAAAACTCAATTCAATCAGAAAGCGGGCTGACTTCGTTGAAGATATAAATCCTAATATTCTCAAGGGGGTCGAACATTACATTCTGATTATATTACCGAGATAACAAAATCAAAACTACCTATAACTATTTTTTTTTAATGAATAAATAAAAAGGAAAGAAGAGGCCATTGCTTACCAGGTGAAGAAAAACGAGAACGGATGGAAGATCGATGCTTCTGATACCCATTATGCACTGACCGCAAGCTTAATTCAAATTTTTTCTGTGATTTGGCACGGTATTTCCTTATAGATAGCAAACGCATGTCTTCCTTCCAGAGGTGTTGAAAGGCTTTGAACTTCATGGTTATAACTCTCTCCTTAAACTTTAAAAACCGCTTCCTCATTGCAAATTTGTCTTTAACAAGTGTATGATGCTGTGAGGACGAGGCACTATCAAATCTACAAAAATCTAATTTAACATCAACTTTCGGCAATAGCTTCTTAAATACTTCATGTGCTGTTTTTGCTAATTCTTTATTGCACAACAAAATTGCGCCATGCAACATATCTTCTCCTTCAGTACATGAACCCATACAATTGGAGATAGGTGCAATTGTTTCAACCTCTGTCAGAATACCATCATCCGCATAAGTGGAAGGACCAGTTTTTCCCCCTCCCGAATGCACTGCGCATTGCACCTCCTTGTTCAACAACTGATTGTGATTCAAGTCCTCTGCAACATGATTCAACATGTCAAAAGAAGAAACTTTCTTTGCCAAAGACAGAGGCTCAACAAACTTCGACGTCACAGTTCCAGGACTATCAACATCCTCGTCTTTATTATTTGTGCGAATTTCTTCCTCGCGGCCATTGCAAATAGGTATCTCCTCCACAACTGCATCCCTGGAAGAAACAATATGCAATAAAGCCGGACGAGGAACCGAATTGGTAATATCTAGATCCTCGCTTGATTTTAATTTGTTCTCCAGAGGCAAAGAACTGGAAGCTGATGGAGAACTGCTTCGAGGAATGGAGTTCAATGACTTGAGTTCATTTTCAAGTGAATCAATTTCAGATTCAGTCACCTCCAGTGTCTTTGAAATTTCACCCTTCAATATAAGCAACTTATTCATTGCAGTAGACCTCACAAAACTAGAGTCCATTGAATTCGGATCATCTAATTGTAGCAACTCAGTTAATGATGGCCCCAAGTTAGCCACTGAGCTAAAATCCAATTTCTCTAAATTAAAGGGGGATCCTTCACAAGGGTTCTGAGCCACAGGACCAGGTGAGCCACATAAATTACTAATATCATTATCGCTATTCGCTGCCTTACCAAATGACTTCTCCTCAACACCTGTTAAAGCACGGAATGGAAACTTAAAAATCAGAAAAGGCCCCCAAAGAAGATTAACAAATGGAAATCGGCTGTCAACATTCAATAAACATTCCAGAGCTTTCCGCAAAACAGACAACAATCACAACAGATTCCTTTTTTCTTTTTGGCTTGGACAATCATAACAGAATTTACTGTAGAAAAACATGGACAAAAAGCTTCAAAGAGGTGGAGTTGCGGAGTTATAGGAATTAGATCGACTGATACAGCCTCTTGACAATAATATTTAGAATTATAAAGCTTTTATTGTAATAAGAAGTTACATCTGTTCAAAAAGCTTCAATTCAGAAGCAATAGGCACGCAGCAATAAATTTATAACAAAACACATTTTAACTCCGCCAGATATGTTTAAGGCCAAATGTCAGAAGAGAAAAGAGGGCAAAACAATATCCAATGGACATTGAACACCAATGATGCAAACTCAAAATTTTATTTCATACAAAAGGAGAGCAGCTCCCGTGCATATGGTGTATCCAGAAAATTCAATAAACATCTATTTCACAAAAAGTGTGACCAAAAAACACTAATTGTACGAACTCAAAAAATTCAGACCATTATACAGTTTTTATCTGAGCCAGAAAAAGATATAAAATAAATCAAACTAACAACTAACAAGAGCCATCTCCTCGAGGTAGCAATAGTTCAAAGGCACAGAGAATTTTAAACTTTTCATCTTGGTATCACAAAACCTTGACCATTAACTTAACGGCCAGGTCCTAAAAGAGAAAAAGTACCTGCCAAGAATGGATCAAAAATGGCACCCTTGATCAAATATGGTACTTTTTGGAACACTACCTAAAGTCAATACAATAAAACCATAGAATATGCTACACTAGTACCCTTCCTCACTTACTTTGATAAGACAGATATACAGCTTACAGGACTCACTAAATCTTAATCAAGATCTCACTCAATACCAAATGCCGAAATCAACTAATCACTTGCAACTTTTCGGAATCACTTAAGAAACTCCACATTTATCTCAAAAAAAATGAATTATTATAGTAACAGAAGTAGAAACTCAACAATGTACCTGGTGAGGAACTGCAAGCAACAGATGATGGAGTAGCAGGGGATGCACAATCTGAAAAACTTGTAACTCGTGGACTTTTATCAACCAAATTGGAACTGAAAGAATGGGAAGGTTCCACATTGCTGACAGCAAATACAGTCTCATCTTTGTTCAAGATAACCTCAGGACCATCGACTTTCTTTTTCTCATACTTTGCCAACCCCTCACCCCATCCAAGGCGTGGTTTCTTCCGAGAATTTGTCTCATCCGAAGGTGCGGCGGATGTCACACAAGCATTAGCATCCCCCAAGGGAGACTGGACTGGAGTAACATTTTTAGTCTGAGATTCAACCTTTGCTTCACTTAAATCTATAGCCCCAACACTCTTAGAGCTACTCAAATGGCTGAAACCCGAACCTCGTGAAGACAAGCTTCCAGATCGAGTCCACTTGATAGGCTTCCAATCATTCAAGCCCAGAGAATTCTCCCTGTCACATTTCTGGCCTGTGACCAACCCATTAGAGCCACCGATTCTATCATGTTGGTCTTTCAACTGAATCTGATCCCACGTGTTCCCAAAGCCACCATTCGAATGAGACGAATATGCTGGCATTTCATCACGTGACTTTAGTTCATTGTTCAGATCGTGTGCTCTTCCTGGCGTGTTTGAAAACCCATTGCTTTCCCAAGAGTGACCTCTCCATTCTCTTTGGTTGTAAGACCCTCTATTTTCTCTACTATTCCTGCCATATTTCCCTTCCCGGCGCGAAATAGAAGACCGGTAGTTCTCATCTTCCAGCACCTTCTCACTGCACCGAGAAGGTGCATACCCATGGCCAGACTCCTCAGGGAAAAAGTGCCAACCACCCTGCTTACCATGACCTTCAGAAAATATTCCAAAAAGAAAACAAAAAACACCCAAAAAATCAACAAAACAAAAGTATAGATTCCAATATAAGTTGAAAAGAAGGAAAAGCCAGTTCCCCCTCAGTGGTTCTTCACAAACGAGAGGGATAATAAACGAAAAAAGGAGCAGAAAATCCTAGATCTATGCAATACCCACAAAAAGTGAAACGCGGAAAATAATTCTCAATAACCATCAGCAAATTCTCATCTCAAAAATATAATAAACCATCAAAGGGAATAGAAAGTCAAAATTTCTACATCCATCTTTTTGTTTGTTGTTCGAGCAGCCCAGAACGATTTGAAAAAAAAAAAAAAAGAAAAAAAAAACCCCAATTAAAAACGGAAGCGGAAAAAAAAACCCTTAAAGCCAGCACTTTCATCAAATCAAAAAAATTGTTTAAAAAAAAAAAAGGAGAGAGGGAGAGAGACAGAGAGAGAGAGGATTAATGAACATACCTAAAGGTCTCCGAAAATCTGCAGATCCCCAGCGATTGAGGTCGCGGGAACCGTGATGGGATGAGTCCCTCCATCTGGCGACGGAGCCAACGGACTCCGACCTCTCGTACTTCCTCTCCCTGAAGAAGTCCTTCCGATCCCAAGGCAATCGTTCAGGCGGCATCAAAACAAACACAATCGCATGGGCAGCCACGGCCCCGCCCCCCAATCAAAAACCTTCCTCCTCACAAACCCTAACAAAAACTCCCAAAATCAACCGTCGCCGCCTCCGGATCTCCCTAAAACTCCCCGCCCTGCCCAACAACAAGCCCGCCGTCTCAACCGAACGGCAATCCGATATCCCTCTCCGACAAGAATCTAGGGTTCCGAACAAAATCCGCAATGAAAATCACGCCAAAAATACTCACAAAAGACGAAAGAAGAAGAAGAAAGAGAACAGAAGATACGAACCTGAAGCAGAAAAGCGAACCGCGTTGGATTTTCTTCTCCGAAATCAGATCAGCAAGAAGAAGAGGAAGAACAGAAGAAGAAGAAGAAGAAGAAGAAGAAACTCTCTCTCTCCTCTCTGTTTCCCTCTCTACAACAAGTTATTCTGATTCTCTTTCTCCTCCTAGGGTTTCCTAATATCGTTATCTATCTCCTTCCTTCTTCGTCTTTCTCCTCTTTGCCTTCTTCTGTTTCTCTCTCTAGGATTTTCTCTCTATCTCTATCTATCTAATCTAAAAATAATAAAAAAAGGGAAAATAAATAAAAATGAAAATGAAAATACGAGAAAAATGAAAATGAAAATTTTCTCGCCTCTTTTTCTTTTGGCTTTGGTGGGAAAATTGCCTGTGGGTTGTGGGGCGAGAAAGTGAGGGCGTGACCGATAAGAGACAAAGAGCACCTTGAGAGAGAAGGTAGAGAGAGAAAGATTGATATCGGATCTCAACGACCCTATTAAACTTCATTCCAATCCCGCTCTCGCGTCCGCAAATTAAAAATGTAAGAATATTTTTCAAAATTACTTTTGATTTTTATTTATTTCTCTGTCTCGCAAATCTTGTTGCTTTTATACAAAATATTTTTTCTCTCTCTATTCCCTACCAATCAACTTTTTCTTTTTCACTTTGGCCCCGCTTGTGTCGTCGTTTTAAATTTTCGAATTCCGGAAACGCCCCTGGGCTGTGGAAGTATTTACTCAGAAGGCGGTGGAACCACGCGCCTACAATTTTCTTGAAGTGATGAAATGACGGAGTAGACCTTGTGGTTATTGGGAATGTCGATGCTCACGTGGCGCGCTGATTAAGGCTAATCGGTTCGTGTTTTAAATTGGGTTGGTGCGGTTGACCAACGATTCATGAGAAAATTATAAAAATTGACTTTTAAACGCATCATTTTAAAGTTTTGCCTTTTATTTATAATTAATTACTTCTTTAATGATAATCTATCAAATTATATATGGTAATATGTCAAATTATACTCGTCATTGATTATTAGAGACTCGTTGTTAGTAATTAGAGACCTGCTGTCAACGTAATTTGTTAAATTATAGATAATAATATGTCAAATTATTTACTCTAAATGATAAAATTTAATAGGACAATGTAAACTCAAAAATCTTTAATGGTATTATTTTAAGGAATATTTGTTAAAATTATATTTATATCAAAGTGAAAAAGAATTGGTTTTCTTTTTCTTCTTTTTTAGGGAAAAATGGTTTATAAATTTTAGAAGGGTTTTTAGCACAATTGATTCTTAAACTTATCGTGGTTTAGTAAATTATTCTTTAAACGTTTAATTATGACAATCAACTCTCTGAATTTATAAATTTGTTACAATGTGCCCATTTTACTAAATTTTTTTTATTAAATTTAAAGGATTAAAAATTGAGAAATTGAAAGATTTATGTTATATTTAAATTAGAATGTTGAGATTTTTCATTGAACGTGCTTTTTCAACACTAATATAACACAATCATGTCGAAATGGGGCATATTATAATAATTTTACAAGTTAATGGGGTAATTTATCAAAATTAAAAATTTATGGAGCAATATGTTAAATTACAATAAGTTTTAGGGGACAAATGTACTAAAATTCATTTTAAAAAGAATTTTTGTGTATATACATTGGGGCCCTTTACAGTGACACCCATACCCACAGTGCTTTACCAAAATTATTTTGACGCCCATTTGACCAATCTAATGACATAAGCACTCTTTGTCTCAAACTTTGTTAAATTTATGAGAAATGTCAATACTACTCCTTAATATTTGCTTTCTTTCTTTTTTAATTTGACTTTTTTAACTAAAAAAAATGTGTTATGATGTGTTGTAATATTTTTTAAAAAGTTAATGTAAAAATATGTTAAAAATGTTAATTTATTTAATTTTTTGTGATAAAATTTAAGTTTAATTTAAATTTCATTTTTGTTTTATTATTAGAATAAAATTATATAATTTATTTTATTATTTAATCAAATTAATTTCGTTATAGTATTTATTTTAATTGGTCCTAATAATGCGCCAAATAATAAATTTATAATTGATATGCTATAGTGGATGTAGGACATTACTAAAACAAAAGATCTTTTAGAGAAAAAAAAAGAAAATATCTATTTCTTTTTATTAGAGTGAAAATTATCAATACAAATATGTAAAATTAACTAAACTCTTTTTTATGCTAAATAAGGGTAAAAATGTCATTTTCATATAACATATAAATTTTTTATACATGTTGAGGCATTTTTGGTATTTTTTAAAGATTTTAACAGTGAACATTCACTGTTAACTCACATCAACTAACGGAGGGGGTGTTTGTGTAATTTTTTTAAAAAGTCGACGGTTCTGACGTGATTAGTTTTGGTTAAGGGAGTGTCTCTATTATTTTAGCAAAACACAAAAATATTAGTGTAATAAGCCCTATATGTTGAGGTACATAAAGTACTAGAAGCAAGCATACAAATTTATAACGACAAGTGATAGTGATATAGCGGTGGATGATGATCTATTAAGGGTTTTTCACTTATTTTTTGGGCCCTGCTTCCCACTGTTCCTAATAAGAGTCAACTTGACAAACATGGATTAGGTTCATTCATAATATTTCTCTGTGTGAGGTTCAATTTTATTGTAATTCTTATTTTTTTCAAGCTGGTATTGTGTGTGTATAAATAGCAGATATTGAGCTCATTTAGTTTGTTGATTCGAGTTTTTAATTCGAGTTTACATGTAACTTTATGTGAGAGTTTTTTACTGTAGTAAAAAAATTAGATGTCACTGTTTTTTAAAGCGTTTTGCTACATTTCTGAGAGTATTTTACTATAATAAAACTCGAATCGATGAAATGAACGGGACTATTGTAATTCTTGTTATTTGGATAAAACACAAAGAAACAATCCATAGGCAGATTGATCATAAGAATATTTAGAAGAAGGTAACCTTATTAAGTGAACCTCATAAAGTAACCTCAACGAGATAATGGTGGAACAAAAGAGAAATTATGGGTATTTAAATACCGTAAGTGTACCCCACTTGTGTTTTCTATGCTAGATAGATAGTATTAAGAGGGGCAGAAACCCCATTTGTGTTTTCTATGCTTTAAGAAGTTAGCATGTTTTCTTGTCAAATCAACATATTAGCCTTATAAAATTTAAGAAAACCCATTTTATTCCCCCGTAAAATCTACATATTTTTTTAATTAGCCCCGCAAAAATTGAGGAGAACATTTAACCCTTACCAAATCAACAAATATTTTATTAGATTAACATATGATCCAATCGAAAAACAAAAAAAAAATCAATATATCTGGAAAAATTTTATGAATTTTTTTAATATTTTAATTAGTTTTAAATTCAAATTAAAGTTTAAACTATATAATTACAAAAATACCTTCAAAATAACAAATTAAATGACAATTTCTATTAAAAACTTAATAAAAGGAAGCTTTTTTGTTAACATTTTATTGTTAAGAAGAAATAGATATTACACTTTGAAATTCAAGAATAAAATATTATAAGGGTATAATATAGTAGGAATTTTTGTAATTAATCCTTTTCTTTTAGATCCAACTTTTTTCTTTCCTTCAACTTGCCAATCTTTGAGCGACTAGTTAAGTGCGTTCTTATAGTCAATCAAACCCATTAGGGCAAGTCAATACAAATACCATAAACTTGCCAAATCTTATGCACTCTCCCAAAAAAAAAAAAAAATGAAAAAAGGGGGAAAAAAAAACTAACATTTTCTACAACCTACGAAATTCTAGTGTTTATTCTTAAACAAAATTAAAAAAAAATTAAAAAAACCTTGTGCTTGGTGGTTTAGGTAAATATTATTTTTTGTTTTATACTTAAAAATATTGTGAAAATGATATTAGTTTTGGTTATATTTTATGTGACTACCACGTATCAATCTAGAAATTATAGGAATTATCACAATTCATTATGACATATACATAACAACATTGGTAACTACAAAGATTACTTAAGTTAATTACTTATTTAAAAGCAACACAAAATAAAATAGTGGTCATTTATAAATATGTTTTTTTAGTGTTAAAAAAAACCTATAAATAATGTGATTTTGTAATTTTTATAAAAAAACGTGAATTTGTAATTCGTTAAAAAAATACATTGAAAGAATAATGGTAACAACATGTATAACATTGCTCCTTAGTGTAACACACCGACACATATAAAACATTTTAAGGAAATTGTCCCCACAATTTCCTCGCTTTCAAAGAAATTATATTTTAGCCTCACTAAGTCCAACTATACATAGCTTTAATTTTACACTGATATTCCACCGAAATATTTTTAATACTATAGCAAAATGACAGAAATTTCTATTGAGAGAGGTGGAGAGATATATAAATCACTTCATAATTTGCAAAAGCAATTAAATATCGAGCTTCGGAAGTTTGTGAAATGTCCATAAAATTAAAGTTTGAGAAAAATACATTGTTTGTCATGATTTTGCGCAAGCCTTTACAGTCGATAGAAATGCAAAGAAACATGTATTGCCAACGAAAAAACAATAACTTAAACTAATAAGGGTAAAACCCATTATTATTATAAACGAAAAAAGAAAATTCCTCAAGCTAGAACATTGAAACGTTACGGAGAGCAAGACCCCTCAACACAGCGAAATAAAATGGCAGAAAAGACAAGTAATTGGTAAACACACATAGACGATAACTTGTGTGTGTACTACAAGACAACTCAACTTCTCTCGTAGACCACAACCTTCATAAGTTAGATCGAAACGAAGACTAACGCATCTAAAAACACCTTAAGTTAAGTCCAATGACGATCCTATCCCTACTTTAGATTTGATAAGACAACCGTCCTCTTTTGCGGATGGCACGAACCTCACCCTAAACTGAGCATTCGATGACGAGTTTGTAGATAAACTATAGTGACCAGAGGCCTAACAATACATCGAGCCTCTGATTGAAAATTTCTCTTTTTTTTTTCTCCCTTTGTGTTTTTGTTAGGTCCAGCTACTCTTCATAGAAGTACTATTTTTTCTTAAACTAAAAGTACAAGGAGAAGTATAATATAAATTTTAAAAGCTACAAAATTTAACTTCTCAAAATAATTAAAAACAGAATTAATCTTTGTGTAGTGATTTTTACACTTTTACCGAATACTATTAAATCGTTTTTTGTGCAAAATTCTCTCGTAGACCACAACCTTCATAAGTTAGATCGAAACG